TATTAAAATAAACAGGAAGAAGAAATGAGAATCTTTTATACTGTTGATCATGACTATTATTTATTTCACTTTACTGTTAAAAAAAATATCATGTAAGGGTCATAAATGTTGATAAGAATGACTTTTTTAAAAGGAAATTTATGAATTAAGATAGAAACTTAAGTGTGAATTGATTTGTATATTGATATTTTTATGGTGAACAGGCTTGGAGGATCCAACCCTTGATAATAGCGTTCCTTTTTAGTGGATTAAAAAAAACAACAGTAACATTAAGTTTTTTTATCAATAAAATTAATATATTATTAAAAATATAAAAAATATTCTACTATAAAAATATATATTTATAAATAAAATCTTAAAATGATAACTTTAGAAGTAAATTAATTAATAAAAAAACCATCATTTCAATCAATAATTAACATTAAGCTTTGTACAAGGATTGGTTTGTTTTAGTCAATAATTAAACTATATTAAAGTTCGAATTTTTTGACTATGGGCTTTTAAATTCAAGTCTTGTCGACATTTGATAGGCAATCTTTTAAATCTCATTATCACCCTAAACTTTTCAAAAACAGGTGAAATGTAAATTAAATATTAAACCTTCCTAATTAAAGAGAAAACTTTTCTTTTTAACAAACCAATCAACAACAAAGTTGTTCCTCTGTGTGGTGTTTTTTTTTACTAAATTTCCTTATGGGTGACATGACAGGAACAGCTCATTCAAAAATGATGATTGAAGATGATGATTTGACTGGGAAAAGGCCAGCACCAATAATAGACAAGTGAACTGTAGATGATCAACTTCAGCACACTGCCTTCCCTAAAATCTACAGATAGTCTGGTACTACCACTCATCATCAAAACTAATTAATTAGAATTATTTCGTATTATTGGCTATGGTAATGACTAGTATTGATTTTATTAGATTTATTAAAGTTGTTAATTTTTTAATTTTAATTTAATTATTAAAAATAATTAATATTTATTATTTAATAATTTAAAATTAATAAAATTATAAATTAAATTAGTGATATGAATAAAGTTATTAGTGACCATAATCCCAACTCATATTATCTTGTTGTTCTATAAATAATTGATGAAAGAAAACACCTCAATCACAAAGGATTTGACCCTTTATCGAAAATATAATTATAACATATGTAGTTTGTATTGTATAAATTACATATTACATTTGTGTACATATTATATCAGATTAAGTTTCATTCAAAACCAATATATATATGTGTGTGTAAGTCAAACTTTTTGAGCTATGTGTGGTTATGTCCCTAAATACTTTGATAAAATACCAAAAATTGTGTTTAATTTCACTCATATTTATAATTTTTTAAAATAATTACTTATAAAGTTTAAAATTTTCACAATATAAAATAATTTTAATTTATTAAATAATAAATATTAATTATTTTGTTAATTATTTTAATTATTTTTAATAATTAAATTAAATTAATATTTAAAAACAATTTTATATGAATTTAACAAATTCATAAAAGGCCATATATAACCATCCCCCATAGATGGATTCCACCCATTAAAAGAATGGTTTAATAGACTGATGAATGCATAGGGAAGGGAAGAAGCAAAAGGAGAGGCAGTGAGGCTCGAGTCTAATTTGAATGAATGACAACTGAAAGTGGTTCTCTGACTCCTCTTCTTCTCCTCTGTGCCTGTGAGCAAATTAGACCTGTCCAATCCAGTCCTCTCCACAAAACCACAAAAGATAATGGAAAAGATAAACTAGTCATAACAAATTGGGTCAGGGTCTGGGTCTCGGCTCCGGCCCCCACCGTTTTGTAGCGCGGGAGTGTCGGGAGTGGGTCTTGTCTTCAATTATAAACAATATGTAAAAATGTGTTTCTGTAAAAAAGTGGTGGTGGTCGCCTGGTCGTCGCCGCCAGCTATACCTCGTTGCAGTTGCAGAGCCAAAGACTCAACTCAAGGGCGCATTTTATAATTAGATGTAGTGCTCTATATACATCTCATCAGGGATCAGTTTCAGCCAGAAACACACGTGGTTTGGCTGCAAATTGGTCATCGTATACAGTACAATGTCGTCAGAATTTCAGTCTCAGAGGTGCCCTTTTCCTGTTTACCGTTGAAATGTTGTACCATTTTACACCCTCTTTTTTTTTTTTTTTGAAACGATTACACCCTTTTTTTTTAATGTATTACGGTATACAGTTATTTATTATAATATACAATTTAACAATTTTTTTATTAAATAATTGATAATGATGTTTAAAAATATCTATTAATTAGGATTAGGAATTTATGAAAAACCCAGATTCTCTTCTCTTTCCAGAGCTAATTACATTTTTGCCTATTTTTTAAATTTAATCTTCAAAAATGACATATTCCTTTGCATAATGCAATGTGCGGCATGAGTGGCCCTCTTGGAGTTTAGTGCCAATTTGATCAAAGGCAAGTAAAAGCAAAGTATCCACACGATGATCAAGGGATTTAGGAAGAAGTTTCTTCTACTAAAAGAATTATGGTCAATTATTAAGGAAGAGTTAAGACAAACAAATTCCATGATTAGAAATTAGAAGAGAAGAAATCCATTTGATTTTTCTGTTTTTTTTTTTTTTTTTTTTTTTTTTTTTTTTTTTTATGATGCATGGTGATTAGGGAAGAGGGGAATGAGGGGAAGGGTTCGAACCAGTTATATAAGCTAGAAAGTTTGAACCCCAACCCAACTTTTCCGCTTCCCGGCCATGGAAATCAGAAAAAAAAAGAAAAGAAAAGAAAGGAAAAAATCAATTGGACATAGATGGAATTAAAAAAAAAAAGAGAGGATGTTGAATCTGATTCAAGTGGAAACATTCTTGCGGATCAAAAACAAATAAAGCGACGGGGTTGCAGTTTTATTGGAGTTCTTATCTGTGGTCTTCTACATGTGAACTTGAAGCGGGCAAGACAATGGCAGCAGCACATTAAAGGACCAAGAATTGAAGATTGAACCGGGAAGCACTTG